TCAAGGAATTGAGAACCTTGGGATAGCACACTGCATGTTCGGGCGACAGGACGTGCCAGCTTTGTGTCAGGAAAAAGTACATAATCAGAGGTGTGTTTGATCTGTAATCCATATTGATAAACTGGAAACATTAAAGTCTTATAAAACTCTAAAATATCATTAATAATTTCAGAATTGAGCATTTGTGGAGAGATGTATGGATGGCAGTGACCCAGGTCTACTATGAAATTCTACATACCCTGGAAGAAGATGGCCTACTTGACACTGCAATGACATTCACATGTTTTGCACACACTACATCTTCCTACCTCGGCTGAATGATGACCTGGCCAAATTCAGTGGTGGGTGGAACAACGACCCACTGCGCACTGAGCAAAACCTGACCCCAAACCAGCTGTGGATCATGGGCCACATTCAGAATCCCACCACTGAAGCAGAAAACATTGAGCAGGTACATTACAGCATAAACACGATAAAAGTTTATAATAAAATAGAATAAAATCAACTGCTTTTGTGTTTACAAATTTAAACTTTAAAAAGGGTCTATGCCAGCAGCGGAGCCATTGTCATGGTTTTGAAACTGTTGTTACCAGTTCAGAACAGCTTGCTATAAGCATCTGCATTTGTGTTGTTGCAGCATCCAGAGGTCGACACCATTGACTGGGAAAATGGAGGGATTACATGTGTATTGAAGTACCACACATTCCAAGCCCATTTAGTCCTGTAGAAATGGAACAGCTACAAGCTACCATTAACCCTAGAGGACCATCACCATGCTTTGGCAGAGACATTTATTTGAACATGCTGCAGTATGTACATAGATTTCTTGCCAACTGAACCAATAATGACTAACATCATTTGACATAGTGTATACAAACCACTGCATGTAAATATAACAATTTGTAATGCACACTGCACTCTTAAATTGACATTTTCTTTTTCTGAATTTAGAGATGTCAAAGTTGAAAGTAATAAAATGTAAACTGTAAAATTGAACGCTCTACTGCAGTCATTGTCTTTATTGTTCCACACATTAAACTCTGCCAAAGGTATTCCCAAAACACAGAGCCAGAGTAAGCACGTTTGAACTCATTGTATGAACTCATGTGTGCCACAGGAAAAGTTATGGTCTTGGTACAAACGCTAACTATTGGAAAACAAATTTCATGCTCTTCCTGTTGACATGCATGATTGAATTTGATGTGAAAAACTCTAAAATATCATTAATAATTTCAGAATTGAGCATTTGTGGAGAGATGTATGGATGGCAGTGACCCAGGTCTACTATGAAATTCTACATACCCTGGAAGAAGATGGCCTACTTGACACTGCAATGACATTCACATGTTTTGCACACACTACATCTTCCTACCTCGGCTGAATGATGACCTGGCCAAATTCAGTGGTGGGTGGAACAACGACCCACTGCGCACTGAGCAAAACCTGACCCCAAACCAGCTGTGGATCATGGGCCACATTCAGAATCCCACCACTGAAGCAGAAAACATTGAGCAGGTACATTACAGCATAAACACGATAAAAGTTTATAATAAAATAGAATAAAATCAACTGCTTTTGTGTTTACAAATTTAAACTTTAAAAAGTGGCTATGCCAGCAGCGGAGCCATTGTCATGGTTTTGAAACTGTTGTTACCAGTTCAGAACAGCTTGCTATAAGCATCTGCATTTGTGTTGTTGCAGCATCCAGAGGTCGACACCATTGACTGGGAAAATGGAGGGATTACATGTGTATTGAAGTACCACACATTCCAAGCCCATTTAGTCCTGTAGAAATGGAACAGCTACAAGCTACCATTAACCCTAGAGGACCATCACCATGCTTTGGCAGAGACATTTATTTGAACATGCTGCAGTATGTACATAGATTTCTTGCCAACTGAACCAATAATGACTAACATCATTTGACATAGTGTATACAAACCACTGCATGTAAATATAACAATTTGTAATGCACACTGCACTCTTAAATTGACATTTTCTTTTTCTGAATTTAGAGATGTCAAAGTTGAAAGTAATAAAATGTAAACTGTAAAATTGAATGCTCTACTGCAGTCATTGCCTTTATTGTTCCACACATTAAACTCTGCCAAAGGTATTCCCAAAACGCAGAGCCAGAGTAAGCACATGTTTGAACTCATTGTATGAACTCATGTGTGCCACAGGAAAAGTTATGGTCTTGGTACAAGCGCTAACTATTGGAAAACAAATTTCATGCTCTTCCAGTTGACATGCATGATTGAATTTGATGTGAATTTCAAAGTTGTTTCTCTCACTTGGCAGTACTGGCTGGTGTGCTTGGCCAGTTAACCATTGCAGAACTGATGGAACTGTAAGGGGTTTTGTGTTTTGAACCACTTCTGCATCCAATTCCTCACTTTCACCAAAGTCCTCAGGATCAGCATCTAATAAAAGAAAATACTGGGTCATTCCATGTCAAATCAAGAGGTGCCATTGTCATTTACTAGGTGTGATGGATGTAAGATGTGTTGACACATGCATTACATTAACTGCTTGCTGACCAAAAGACCAAAAATCGAGTATTAAGTGGAAAAAAAATACGGATGACTCCTCTTTTCTATTGG